CTTTACTCCGGTGACCTGCGGTCCCCCCCATAGCATCTGAGTCTGCTGTGAGACAGGGATTCGCTGACTGAGAATTTTCCAGTAAGGACCAAATGAATCAGAGATTCCTTAGAGAAAGAAACTGTGATAAGAATTATAAGAAAGCAAAATAAAAGAGCTACAGAGTTGGTTACAGACCAACTCTACTGACTTCCTGTTGTCATTGGATCTTGCTTCCATCAAAACAGAACAAAAACATGTGAATTTGGGGATAAAAATTAAAATTAAAAATTATTGTTCTGACTAAACCAAGATAAAGTGAGACTGTGGCCCCAAACACAGCTGTGTGAGCGATAGGGATTGAGTTTGAGAATTTAGTGCACAAACAATTTAATGATACGAAAAACATTCACAAACATTAAAATTCCCCAAGCAAATTCCATTTTTATCACTGAATTAAGGCTCTTAAAGTTATAAGGGACGAGTGAATGAGACTGAAGAAGAATAGTTGTATTTTAATGATTTAAAATTTCCAAGAGTAGCTTGTTTGATTTTGAATTTCAAATAAACAAAAAAAAAAAAGATAGTCTGTGAGTTTCAAACTATTTGACCTCCTTGTACAAAAAGCTACCACCTCACAAGGTTTTGTTGATTTTACAGTTACTAAACTCCTAAATAGTAGGCGGCAGAAATCCACCTTTCTACAATAAATCATAGGAGCTGTCTTTATTATCACCATGCTTATTAAAGCAGAACTTACAAAAGTCCCCATCCCACTGTATGCCATGAGAACACTACGCAATTTTTCCTCCAAAGAAGCAACCAGTAAATCCACAGAGCTTCTTCCCTTGAAACTGGAAAATGATCATTTAAAGACCTTCTCTGTCCCATTTCATTCACATCTTGCTAGAGGAATTTAAATAAAATTTGGGGAACTTCTAGGGCAGAGTCAAAATCATTTTGGAAACCAACTGTGTGAAACACTATGGCCCATCATAGAAGCCTGGGACGGTAGAGCCAGGAAGTTAAGTCCAGCCTTCTAGCACAAACTTTTATTCACAGGTGGGAGCTTGGAATACCTTTAGACTCACAGCCACACCTACCTTAAGCCTGGTTAGTGTTTGCAAGGTCAAAGCGCAAGCATCTACCTCCTACCCTAAGCTTGGAGCTCTGTGCAAGACGCCACTGCCCTTTGTAAATAAGGTTCTGAATGCAGCAGTGGCCTTAGTGGACCCACTGCCTGTCATGTTAATCTCTTGATCTACTCAAATTTTACAAGAAAGTCTGAACTATGAGCAATTACTCATTCCACAGCAGGCTTCCATGCTAGCATGTGAGAAGGAAGGCCGGGGCTGAGGACTCTCAGCTAACTGTGTCCCCCTTCTCATGGAAAGAGCAACTCCCCCTAGAATAGGCCCCCTGCATGCTGGCCTGGCCATAGCTCAGGTTCCCAATCCCTGTCCAAGCTGCAGTCTTTAATCTGTTGGCTTATGTGCATGAACTGGTAAAGGGCCTTCTACTATGATAATCTCAAAGCAGTTCACAAAAATAACCCCCAGTTCCCAAAGGGAGAAATGAATGCAGACAACTTCTTTTTCTAGCATGTCTACTATGGGTCAGGAGGAACTTTGCCCACTGTTCTCAGAACCATCTGAAGGAGTGATCCAATCAAGAGGGTCAAGCAAAGCTACACTGAGAAGCATCTGGAGACACAGGGCAGGGTGAAGCAGTGGAAGAAAACTAGGACAGAGCCTGGTTCTCTGAGCAGGAGAGGGCATCATGGCTGGGATGAGCAGGGAGGCCTGCGTGATGAGGCCCTGCAGAGATGGCACCAGGGTGGAAGTGAGGAGGTCGTTAGAAGGGGTTGGGGAAGAGGGTATATTCAGAATGGCTTCCAGAGAGAGTTGGAGACAGCCAAAGGGTCAGTAGTGGTGAGTGTGGACAAAGGAACAAGTTGAGGCTGGACTGTGGGCCTCCACGGATACACTGATGAGGCTGAACTTTACTCTGAGCATTGAAGGAGCTACATACTTGGTTCTCTGCCTTAGGGACCTACAGCCCTAGCTCAGGCTCCAAGGCCAGCTGGCACAGCCTTTCCCCTGCTCAGGACCAGCCTTGCTTGTCAACAGTCACCTCAGACTCATCAGTCCTGATGTGGGATTGAACAAACTGCCCACTCGGGAATTAGCCCACAGGAGAGGAAAACCATTTGCTTCGTGGGGATAGCTGGCCGTACTCTGAAGAGCTTGTGCAGCCTGAAGACCTCTGGAATTTAATGCCGTCCTCTTTTTGTCATCCACCTTGACCTGCAGATGAAGGCTGGTTGCTGAGGCCTGAGAGCGCCACCTCCTAAACTGCCTCCTACTTATGAATGGGCCCCATTCCCATGTTCTCAGATGGAAAATGTCACCCACACCTACAGCCCTCACAGGGAGAAACCACCCACTCGGGAAGGACAGAGGTTTCCTGGTGTTACACACACAAGCGTCCCTGGCCACCCAGAATCAGGAACACTGGAGAGAGCAGCTCAGTTCTGTGAGCCCTCATTGTCCTCAGCCTTCAGCGTCTACACAAGCACTGGCTTGAGTCTGTTTAACAGCCCAGGAAAATGGAAGAGGACTAGTGGGATAAATACAAGGAAAATGAGCCTCGGTCCCATTAACTTGCCCACCTGAGTCCACACCACTAAAGCCAGGTGTTGGAACCTTCGTGTAATCATCTTTCCAGGATCATGGAGCGAGTGCCGGAGCGGGGGCCAGACACTGCACATTAGCCAATTAATTAGAGCTCTTGGGAATTCCAGTTGTGTGTGTCGTGAGACAGAAATAATAACAACAACATATGCCTTACAAAGCCATTGTAGGGTGAGAACAGGGCCTCACCACCTGGGCACTGTGGGCAGGTGGAGACAGATCATTCTGGGGTGCCGGGGCTGTGCCAGGCATTGTAAGATGCTGCCTGGCAACCCCAGCCTCTACCCACCCCTTAGCTGTGCCACCCCGAAACTGCCTTGACACTGCCAGGTATCCCAAGCCCCAGCTGAGAACCACAGAATTAGAAGAACTGGCATTTCTAAAGGCACATGACACTGTGAGAAAATAACTTCCGGCTCATGAAAACCAGGTGACCCGTCAAGCTTCTCTATCAAAGCAACTTTTCCTCTTCGTTTTGTGATTTCGCCTTTCTGCTACAGAGCTGATCACACTCACTCTTGAATTTTAGAAGCACCAAGGGAGTTTTTCTTGGCATATTTGTTTTGATAACTCTACACAGTGGCACATCCCTGTGGCCCTAGCTACTCAGAAGTCTGAAACACAAGGATTATGAATTTGAGGCCAGCCTGGACCACAGAGTGTGACCCTGTCTCAAATCAGAAAGTAAAAAGTGCTAGGGAGGTAGCTCAGGGGTAGAAAGCCTCTTGGTTCAATCCCAAGTATAAATAAATCAATAATCTCACACAAAAACCAGGTTTTGGGTAGGTAATTTGCGTGTGTACATGGAGAAGCTAACATGCATCTCAGTAGACAGCTCCACAAAGGAAGACGAAAGGGCTGCTCAGCTTCTGTGTGACAATAAAGCAATGTGATCAGAGAGGTATTGGGTCCCTTCTCTCAGGAAGGTCATGTTTTACCGCAAAAACCGATCTTTACTGACTCGCGCTTTCTGTGTCACTCCGACCCCGGTGGGATTGACAAGGACACTGCCATGGGCTGATGTTTTTGTCTCCAAAATTCATATGTTGACTGCCCCCTGCCTCCCGAGTGCAAGGTCCCAAACTCAATCCCCAGTACAAAAAAAAAACCAAAAACCAAATATTATTTCAAAATTTATGTTGAAACTCTAAGTTTCAAAGTGACAGTATTAAGAGGAAATTAAGAAATTTGGGAACTCAGTAAGGAGAAAAGGGCTAATCAGACCCTTCTAAAATAACCCCAGGGATCTCTCCACCATGCGAAGACACAGGGAAAAGACAGCCATCTGCAAACTGGAAGAGAACTCTCACCGGATGCTAGGTCTGCCCACGCCTTGATCTTAAGAAACAGGTTTCTGGCATGTGAGGTCCTCAGTCTATAAAGTATTTTCTTTCAGCAGCCTGAATGGATGAAGACTCATTTCAAAAGAAACATGGACCTGACTCAAAAATGGCCCAAAGCTTCAGAAACTTACTATTTCCTGGTAAGATTGTGGGGGTAATTTTTAAACTTTTAACTTTAAATGGACATATACTTGTACTTATTTAAAGGATACAGAATGATATTTCCATATACGAATACAGAAGTCACAAGTGTATTGTTAGCACAAATGAACCTGTGGCCTGCCAATGGTCAGTGACAGGCTATAAAGATGTTTATAAAAGTTTGAGAAACCTGGTCATGACTAAGAGAGTTTCTGTGCATCGCAGAATAGATAACAGAGCGCTTTTCTGGGTGGACTTGAGCAAGATCCCACCTGCTCTGTGCTGAGTTGGTTCAATGAAGGAGGCTGTGAGGTGTCAAGGAGCTGAAGCCCTTTCAGATCACAGGACAGTACTTGTAAATAAGCATGCAACACATGCAGCTCTGGCTCTGATCACAACACTGTCCACAGGTGTTGATATGCACCATCTGTGGAAGATACTTTGGTAAATGTCTGGGAAGATTGCTTTAAATGAAATGAAAGTGCCTCCCACTCATTGCTGTACTTCTTAGAGCTTTTAGAAAGCTGATCTTCGACCCAAATATGAAAGAAGCGATCCTGAATCCAGCATGTACAACCAGGACCCCTCCTTCCTAGGGCAATTCCCAAGATTTGTGTTATATAAAACACGGGGTGAACCACTGCCGCCCACACAGCCTTCTGAGCTGGACGCATGGGGTAACGTAATGGTGACTGCTTATCAGACTGTGAAGAACTTCGATTGTTAGACGCACAAACATTAGCGACTACCAAAATCTAATAAGGATCTGATGATAATACATATTCAAGATGGTTCAAATTGAAGCTACGCTGTCGATATTGATATTGATTTTCATATCACTTACCCGGGACCCCTTTTCAGGAAAGCACTGGCAAACAGAGCAATCTCTTCCTCTGCATGGACTGATATACTTCTTTTCACCCTGGAAAGTAAAGCAGCTCCTTTAGTACAGCATTTCGCAGCACTTGGTTGAACACAGAAAATACACATGATAGCAGGCACTTGCAGTCTGCCTGACTCCTAAGAACACCACAGCACACTTACTGCCCTGGGTCCCACAGAAGCAGAGACTAACACTGACATTTAAAAAGCTAAAGCAGCCCGGGTGTGGAGGCACATGCCTGTAATCCCAGCAATCAGAAGGCTGAGGCAGGAGGATCACTGTGAGTTAGAGACTGGCCTGGGCTACATAGTGAGTTGTAGGTCAGTCTCAACTACATAGTGAGACCCTGTCTCAAAAATAAATAAAAAGCTAAAGCAACTACACTGAGGCTTCATAATAAGGAGGGTTGGTTATCTGAGCAGTGGGCTTCCAACACCAAAGACACTGGAAAGAAAATAACAAACAAACAAAAAACTTCCTTCTGAAGCTACTTGTATTGGCCAAGATTTTTTAAGTTTTTCTCTCCCAGTAAGACTTAATTTACTACGCTGTGAATAATCTTAGAGCACAAATGACAGACAGGTGAACCTACGTACACACAGATTTCAGTTTAAATGATACCTTTGATTATTTTCCCCCAGACTTCCCTGCTTTGTCCCTGGATCAACTAAAGTATGTCTTCCTCGTTGAGTCATTCCTAGGACAACTCTCTAGTCTCAGCCATGGGCTTCATTTTCAAATTGTTTTTTCCTGCAATTTGCTAATTGTTCCTCTAATGTGTCCCTCAACCAGAAAGATTCAGAGTTGGAATAATTTGCCTTTCTCACTTTTGGCTGACTTTTCATCAATACTAACTTTACAGCATCAATATCCAGGCATATGTGTGCATGCGCACACACACACACACATGCCTGCACGCCCTTTGAATCACCACTTTGTTCTCACAAATCCTTATGGTCTCCATCCAGACTCATCAGCCACTTCAACACTAAAGTGTAGAATAACTATCTTGGTGGGTGGATCCCTACGACAAACAGCCCCCACGAGGCACCTGGTTCCATTCACAAGCTGAGACTATGGGTGTGGGTGAGGGGGTTTAGGCCCCCAAGTGGGGATGAAAACAGCTGCAGATGCTGAGAGCTGAGGGAGTGGATAGGGACATCAAGAAGCCATCAGAGATGAACGGCTAGTCCGGCCCTTACAGCAACACGTACACAGTGAATGCACATTTCTATAACTGACAGATCTTTTCAAACTTGAGGCTGTAAACTTCAGCCATTAGACCAATGTATAATGAAAGCATAAAGCAGTTAAGCCAATATTTATAATTCTGATGGGAGAAATACATCCATATGTATGTTTGTGTGTGTGTGTATACACATATAGCACAAGTATACACACACAGACAGATATATTCCAACATTTTTGTTTGGTTTCGGTTTTTTTGAGACTGGGTCTCACTATGTAGTTGAGACTGACCTGGAACTCATTATGTAGCCCAGGATGGTTTTGAACTCACAGTGATCCTCCTGCCTCAGCCTCTCAAGGACTGGGATTACAGGAGTGTGCCACCACACCCGGCTCCAACAGTATTTTTCAATCACCCAATCTAGACTTCTTTGGGGGGAGAAAATGTGTTTAGACAAAAATCCAAAAGAAATATTTTTAAGCATTAATGAAAAAAGCATCTTATAAACAAAAGTCCCATGAGTCATTAAAAGGTATATAAGAATTTGAAGCTTCACAAGAGCTAGGCAATTAGGTAATGGATGTTTAAAAATGTATTTGAAGTTTCAGAAATATATGCCTCGTAGGTTTTGAGTAACACTGTTATCTGTTAAAACCTAAGTTCAAAGTCCTGATAAAGTTTTTAAAAAATGAAGAACCCAGGGCCAGGTCAGGACAGCACAAAAGCACTTAAATTCCCGGTCTGAGTACTTGGGTTCATTTAAGGTTGGGATTCATTCCTGTGTATTCACTGAAATATCAAAATAATCAGAGAAAAAGACGGTCAGCTGATTAGATGGCTTGATAATAAAAAACAGCTTAGTTATTTATTTTTTCTTTTCTTTTTTTTTTTGCCAAATATCATTGAGGTGTTGATAGCAAAATCACATTTCGGGAAAGAATCAGTTTAAAATAGACTAGCAGGTTCTAGTAAAGAAACATCCCAATAAATATTTAAAAAGTGGATGGTGAATTCATAGAGAAGGAATCTGTATCTCAGAAAGAGATTGTATAAACCTGTTGAAAAAGATAAAGACAGATAAACATGGAAATATGAACCACTCCCATTGGGAATTTACTTAACTCTCAAAAAACAATGTTACTCTTCCTCAAAGCAAACAATAGGTAAACACATTCTCTGCTTAACCTCAGACACTTTTTAAATGAGTATTTGTAGCCGGGTGTGGTGGCTCACACCTGTAATCCCAGAACTCAGGAGGCTGAGGCAGGAGGATTGCTGTGAGTTCAAGAACAGCCTAGGCTACGTAGTGAATTCCAGGTCAGTCTCAACTACATAGTGAGACCCTGTCTCAAAAAACCAAAACCAAATCAATATTTGATACATAGTCCAAGAAAAATGTTGTTAATCTTTGGAAGATTCGCCATCTTTTATTTGTACCCTTATTTTCTTTTGGGTAAAACAAGTAATATAGACACAAGGTGAAAAATCCAATAGTACAAAAGAGTACAACAGGAAAAGAACTTTTCAAGTTCCCTTCCCCAGAGGATCACTGACTTTAAATTGGGCATGAATAAGTATATTCACACTGTGATTATACACACATATGTGGGACTACGTGTGAACAAATGGGTTCATGTGCTGTTATGGCTCGTGTGTAGATGTCCTCCCAAAGCCTCATGCAGTCACAAGGGGGGCTTTCAGAGGTGGATCTAGAGTGGGTGATGCTGGGATTAGGGCTATGTGATTAACAAATTACTCCGCTGATTTGTTGGGCATAGTTCTGAGTGTGGATAATGGGAAAGCCCATCATGGTGTGAGTGCCACCTGCTATAACGTTGTGTAGCTTGGATACAATGTAAGGGACAGAAAGAGGGCTGCTGCTGTTACTTGATGCTGCTTCTTTTGCTGCCTTCTGTCTGCCATGGACAGGTTCTCTTCTGCCAAACCACCCTGCCTTGGAGCCAGCCACTTATGGGCTAAAACCTCTACAAACTGTGAGCCAAAATAAACCTTTCCTCTTTTAACTTTTAGTGTTACGTACTTTGTCTCAGTGACAAGAAAAGTAACTAAGACACGTGCTCCTACAGACAGAGACAGAGACAGGCAGACAGACAGACAGACAGACACACACACACACACACACACACACACACTTCTAGTGATTTCGGACCTGTTTTATTATTACCCAAATGGTACACTGCTTGGTGTCCTGCTGTTTTCATATAATCATATAAGCATGTCTTCACAGTCATTCCAAAGTAATCCATACACTCACTTAAACTCACCATTTAACCATTCCCTATTGCTGGCACATAGGTCCCGCCCTCCTCTAGCTGCTGAACTCTATCTACTCTGCCATTAAATCTGCTGCATGCACCTGAGCACGTGTGATAAGCCCCAGTGAAGTGGAATCCTGCGTTAGGAGGTGTGTGCCTTTCAAGTCCTGATGGGAGCCAAGTTGCACTCTACAGACTCTGCACCAGTTTGTACCTGCCTTTACAATCGAGCTATCCTGCAGCTGGTCAGCATGTGAAAGCCCTAGAATCTCTGTACCACAAGCTGGTGGGAGGCTCAGAAAAGAACAATCCTTGCTTCAGGAATTATACAGAAAGATGCATGGAACTCACGGAGCAAAGAAGCTAAATTTAGGACTCTGAAGACTTTGGTAAAAGAAAACAAAGGACTATAATATAAACAAATTTGAGAAATCAGGTAAGATAAGTAGAAAAACACACACACGTGCATATCACAGTGTGTTTCATTCACCGCACTGTTGTAGGCAATGCTCTTGAATGCGTGAGGACTAAGTGGGGTCAGTTGTATGGTTCCCACTTAACACTGGAGAAAACTGAGTCTCGGGTTAAGAGACAAATCATTGGCAGTTGTCTCGAGATGAACCTGAGTTAGAGGCAGCTCTGCCAGGATTTCTCTAAAACTTCTGAGGTTTCAGTAACTCAGACTCTTTAGTGCAGAGGCAAAAGAAAGAGGGCTTATTACAAAATGTTCTAGGCTTATCTTTCTCCAGAGCTAAAATGTTCAAACTTAATCTTATATTTCTTGGTTTGTCCTTGACGTGGCCCAGCTGCCTCTTGCATAGCTCAAAAAAAAAAAAAGATTTTTAGAAAGGATAGCCATCTCCAATATTTAAGGACTTCTATAAGCAATCTTAACCACGAAATATTAAAAAAACAAAGTTAATGTTTAAGATGAGTCCATACTTCATCTTAAAAATGAGAATACTAAGCCCAATAGAGGCTTTAAAAGTATAACAAAAACCATACATTTAATAAAGTTAATTTTCAATGTGCAAGCAGAGTAAATCAATGTTCTTACCCCATACACATGTGGTATAGAAAAGAGAATCAGTATAAATGACCTGTGGAAAAACAAAAATGCAAATTAATTCACCTTGTTCATTTCCATGTGAAACAAACTAAAAGGAGAGTGAAGTAATTAATTCCATTTCTTCTCCATTTCTAACAGCTACTACTACCAGCTGGTCCTTCACCAGGCACAGCAGAGTTGCTATCCTCTCTCTGGCCACGATCATCACCCTTCAGGAAAGACATACTGGACACTTTTCAGTGTCACCCATACTGTGCTGGGGACTGTGGGGACAATATGAAGGTCAGAACTGGATCCACAGGTGAATAAAGATACCTGACTCTATAATGAAAACGAGAGAAGAGCAGGAAGGAAGCCCCCGTCTTCAGGGACACTGCGGAGACCGGTGTATCTTGGATGTCACCAAGTGGAATGAACCAGTTACAAGGAGGGTGGACAGGAGGAAATCTGGCTGGTTTGGAAGAATAGTTTGGAGGAAAAAGGAACTGATATGAAAACACTAGGGATGAATTAGGTGGTGCAGAACCTTGCAGGTGAGGCAGAAATCCAACTGGGGTGACACCATTATCAGTAAATTTTAACATAGAAGAGATGCAATAAAAAATGGCCACCAAACAGTCACAATCATTAGCTAGAGCTATTTGTCAAACACCTTCAAGATCCATCATCTCATTTGAACCTTAAAACAGCTGTGATGGAGTTGTATCTCTTAGGATCATCCCTGTGATTTGAGAACAGAAGCCTGGGCCTGTCCTTGGTTCTGTGCAGCAGAATTTTGTCTCTGGAACCCATGTTCTAAGTGAGCCTTCCTTCTACACCCTCTAGTCTTCTCCACCCTCTTTGTCTTGTGCTACCGAACTATGTCGACAAACACTGTATAAATCTACAAAGAAGTCTTGTAGATGGACCCATATGTGAGTAAAGGGAGCTCACTTTATAGTGAAAACTAGAGGACCCCGTGGCCCTGACTAGCAGATGGGACTGGGGGGCTTAGTCTAGCCTGCATCTTCCAGCCTCTACTCTGTAGCCTCTCTTCTCCCAGCCATTCTATTGGAATTCATGATCACTGCAATGAAGGCCAGCTTGACATTTCAATACAGTAACTAAGTAAATTAGGAAAAACCAGGAAGGAGGTGTTGAATCCAGGAAAAAAAAATCTCTTTTAAACCAAGTGGAACTTGGATTTAAGAGTACTGCTTGTTAAATGTGTTCATGTTATGCCTTGGGACATTTATAAATGACATAGGTTGTATCTTACCAAAGTTGTGGCCTCCCGTTAGTCTCAGGTTAAAACAGTCAACGTGACACATGCTTTCCGCCTCTCACAGAAGAGTAACTGACTCAGAAATGTTGGATAATGCTCCAGAGGTTGTAGGCAGAGTCCTTCCCAAAGGGTATGATTCAAGTCAGATCCGAATCTTGTTACTGTCCTTTCACCCTAGACTCTGCTTGTCCTTCTCACTGAGGTAGCCATTAAAAGCTAAAATCATTTCCCTCTTGCCAGGTAACATGAAATATCTGTGGGTTCCAGATATTAAGATGTACACAGACATCAGCGGGAGCCATCATTCTGCTGTCACAGTCATGAGGTGCTGTGTTCTGAGTCTACTGGTTACAGGGACTCAGGAATTCTGGCTGTGAGGCATTTGCAGCTCAGACACAGTAAGAGCCTGGGGACGTCAGCCACTCAGCTCCCCACTTGGTGACACTGTGGGCGCATTCTGGAGAGGGTGGTGTGTTGGTGTTAATAATAAGGTGTCATGAATGCAGAACCAATCCCCAGATTTCTAGAACAACTTGACTTGTTGATGCTTGAAACGTCCAGATAATTTTTATGTACAGAGTCAACATTCAGGAGAAACTATGTAAAGGAAGCGGTCACACGGAGAACACTCACCAGGGATCTGTGCCCAAGGGTTTGGCCCATCGGGAAGAGCACCCCATTAACACCATGAGCAAGGGGCTCCACTGCAGGCCTAGGTGCTTGAACAACTCTGCTGCCTTCTCCCCTCTTCTGGAAGACTCCTGTTGACAAGTGGGGCTGTGAGTCTTGAGTTAAAGTCAGCATGTTTTGAGTATAAATACTTTTCTCAAGGCACAGCACACATTGTAAAGTTGAATGCAATCAATTACCTTCAGTATTCAGAGCACATCCTGGGAAGATTTTCTACAAGGGGAACCCAGTGGTTTTTGATGTAACAATCTTTCCTTAGCAATGGTTAAAATAAGTTTCAATTTTTCTTCTTAGAAATAGAAGTAGCCTCAAGCCCTTTAGATGGTACAAATGCATTTTTGAGAAATGGAAAATTGCTCCACTTTGCCACCAAGTAAAATTTTCTTCTATTTTTAATCTTTTCCCTTGAAAAACCACTGTTAAAGTCATTCAAGTGCATTTTTTTTCTTTGAAATTAGGAGAAAATTTTAGTAGAGAATGACATATTTTGTACTTGTTACATCAAATACATGTAAAAATATTTTTATATAAAGTGGTACAACCCCTGTGGGGAAAACATTTTGGCAGTTCCTCAAAAAGTTAAACAGAAAAATAAAAAGTTAAATACAGAGTTACCATAGGGTCCAACAATTCCACTGCTCTGTGTGAGCTCAGAAGAACCAAAACAGGTGTTCACACACACACCTGCACATGAATACTCATAATAGCCCACAGGTGGAAACAACCCAAATACCCATCAGCTGATCAAAGGACAAGCAAAATGTGCTACATCTATACAATGGAATATTATTCGGCCCCCCAAAATAAATGTTTGTAATGTGTTATAACACAGATGAACCTGGAAAAAACCTGCTGAGTCAATGACACATGTTATGTGATTGCATATATGTAAAGTTTGTAATAAGCAAATCAATAGAAATAGAAGAGATTAGTAGTTGTCAAAGGTAGGGGAGGGAAACATTGGAAACAGCTAATTTATATGGACATGTTCTGGAATTAGATAGTTACTATGACTGCACAGCATTTTGAATACACTAAAAGTTACTGGATTATAAACTTTAAAATGGTGCATTTTATTTTGTGAATTTAGGAAGAAAATGTTCAAATGGAAAGGGGAACTAAGGAGGGAGGAAGGGGAATGGAAAGGAAGGAAAGGAGAAAAAGTAAGAAAAGAAAAAAATGGAAACGAAGTTTTTGTAAATAAGGAGGAAAAGAGGGGTTAAAGGGAAGGGAATGGGGAAAATCAAGATATATCATGTAGAGTTACAAATTACCCATGATGAATGTGATTATTATGTATATCTAAAATGCACCAATAAACTTAATTAAAAAACAGAAAAATATTGTTTAAAATTTACTAAAAAAAAAAAAACAAACCCTCTGCTTTAAGACCTCTTTGGCTGAAAGAATTCAGACTTCTCATTTTTAAACCTTTGGCTTTTAAATGACCTATCCTATGGAAACTGGAAAGAGAAGGAAACCAGCAGTGTTAAATGCTAAAAGCTATTTTTATCGCAAGTGCAAGGTCCTGAGTTCAATGCCCAGTACCAAAAAATAAATAAATAAATAAAAGCTATTTTTAAATTTCTGGATAAAACCCAAGTAAATTAATTCAATGCTGTATTTATTGAAGATTAGATTCCTGAGAGATAGAATTACATCCCATGATAGTCTCAAAACCCAGCAGAAAGAGAATCATTACCCAGACCTTTTCCATCTCTGAATTCGTAATTTTAAAGTCCCTTTTCAAAAAGTTACATTCCAGAAGCAACTCTCAATAAAGTGAATTATTGTTTTGGAAGAAAAACACAAACTGGTCTGAATCATTCAAACTATATTCCATATTTAAATACTCAAATAGAAGCATTCCAAAATCAAAGACCAGAGATATTCGCATATTCATTAAAGATAGATAGATGGCGCAATTACTGTTCACACACAATCCACGCATACTGTGATAAAGGGGGCACAAAGGGAGACTTTATTACAATAAAGTGGTGGCGTGGAGGCGACCCTCCAGAGGAACAAGGGCTGAGATTGGGCTTAGCCTCTGGTGATTCCTTGTTATACTTTAACTGGATGGACAGATGAATGGATGGATGGATGTGCAGACCAACCTGCAAAAGCCCAACTGCTCTCCCATTAGCTGGAGAGAACACTGCAGTATCCTCTGAGTATCTGGGCACTTGCTTACCACAGACTCCGTGACAACAGGGATTCTGTGATTTTCCACTTCACAGATTTATTTCCAGGGCCAGTGTAGTGTCTGGAACACAGCAATTGTTCAATACATATTTGATGGATAAATCAACTTCTACAAGATACTTCAGGACCTTAGGGATGGAAAGCAAGTATATCTAATAGGGAGGCAATTAAAGACTATAAATAAGGCTAACTTTGAACCTGTGGGAGAGAGGGAGAAGAGAGAATGAGGGGATGGAGAGAGGGGACACAGCGACTCTGGGCAGGTACCGATCATTTGTAGGACCAGTCATTAACTCTCACAACAGTCAGTAAGGACAAAAATGATTTCCATTATCCAGGAAAAACAAAACGGATCCATGGAAGGCGTGTGTGCGAAACCAGAGCTCCAAGGACTGAACAGGGGCCTTTCCCTCTGGGATGGGATCTGTTCCCCACTGACACACCAACTCAGCAGCCCGCAGCCTTCAAGTTTCTCTGCTCTAACCCTCCCATAAGAATTTGGAAAGTATGCACCCCGCCCCTCTTTTGTTTTATTTATTTTAGGTACCAAGGATTGAGCTCGGAACCTTGCACTTGCAAGGCAGGCAGCGGAACCACTGAGCTAAATCCCTGGCCCCTATTTTCCCTCTTTAAAAGACATTTAAAAACTTCATCTTCTTTGTAAATGAAGCAGATGATTTCTGGAGTGTTGTAAATGTTGACTTTAAAATAAAACTATTACCATATTATTTCAGATCTATCCAATGGATCATAACGCCAGAAAAATATGATTTTTCACCCCAGCACACAAGGTGTTTAATATGAACTTGACATTGCTGATTCTTCATTTTGAATTCGTATTTCCTTTTTACATCCCCAAATTCTTATGCTTGAAATTTGTATATTTTAAATATTACACTGATCACACCATCATATTTCTAAGCAGCAAAAATATGTCTGCAAATAAAATATTTTCCATCTCCTATAATCACAAGGCTTGAAATCTTACCATTTTTTTCTTATGGGATTGGCTTTTCAATAGAATTCTTCATAGTATATAAATCACCAAAGCCATAAATTAAATCTTATTATTAAAAATTAAAAAGAGAACTTTATTGGAAAGGTAAGCTTTGTGTTTCTTAATTACTTTAGTTAGCCCTAAATTGATTATCCTTCCTTCTGGAGTGAGATGGCCTTTCTTTTGAGAAATAAGATGATGAGAAGTATGAAAGAGAAGATAAGAATTTTGTCCAAAAGACTGTCCGATTCTGGGAAATTCGGCTCAGTTACTAGAGGCACAGCCAGGCTTTCTGCCACCTGGTCCTGTCTGCTCAGCCACTGGAGGAGGACAGACTACAACCCAAAGGCAACCTCGTGCAGAGGGCATGGCTTCAGGATGGAGGACTGACTCTGGCCTGGGGCTGATACAGAATCTAATTAGTGCTCTGGGAGAGCTGAACTCAGGAAACTGAGAAGAGGGAAGGACTGGGAAAGGAGGAAGCATCAAGAGATGTTCCAAGGTAGGGTCCAGCATTATGGGGCTGAGACAGATCACGATGTAGTGCAATCACGAATTCAGAGGAAACAGATACGCTGAGTAAGTATGAGAAGCTGTTTTCAGAGAAGAAAATGCAAAAGAGGGTTTTTTGAGAGGAAGAAAGATTACGGAAAGCGGCTCCATTCTCACCATAGCATCTTGTAGATAGTATCCTTTACTTGAGTGAACTGACCTATGCAGTCCAGGTGGTAAGAAGCCCTCAGCTTTTGCTGACCTTTCCAAGACTGTTCCACCCCTTGCCCAAGAAGGAGGCCAAGCAGAAGCATTAGGACCTAGATATCTACCTGTGCACTGACCTCATTAAGATCTACAGGCTCTTTCACACAGCATCTGTCACGGCTTGTATCTAGATGCCCCCTCCAAAGCCTCATGCACGCATAGGCAGGGCTTCTCAGAGGTGGCTGAATCTAGGGTGTGCTACATTAGGAGTAAGGCTGCGTGGTACTGTATTAGACCACAGATTGGTATGACACAGTTTTGGGTGTGGATCATGGAAAGGCCCAACCTGAGTAGGTAGCACCTGTTTGTGATGAAAGGGAAGGGCAGACTCACTTCAGTTGCAGTTGCTGCTTGCTGCTGTTACTGCATCTGCCTGCTTTGCCATGAACTGTTTCTCCTCTGCTGTGCCACTCTGACATGCCACCCTGCCTTGTAGCCAACCAACTGTGGACTGAAACCTCTACACACTGTAAGCTTAAATAAGCCTTTCCTCCTTAACTTTGGGTGTCGGGTATTTTGTCTCAGCAGCCAGAAAAGTAACGAAGACAATCTGCACAGCAGTAATTTCTAGCCCTGTGTGTTCAGCGACATCATCTTGTTACCTTCCTCTAACATCCCAGTATTATTTTTCCCTTCACTCCTTTATGAAAATTTCTGAACCCCAGCTCCCCTGGGACTGCTTATGAGTCTTTGCCCAGTGTTTTCCAAATGTTTTGGAAACAAGATCTGAGATCTTCCAAATAATTATCTCCACCATAAGAAATTTGCTTTCTTTGCAACACAACCTTGAAATGAAATACACCCTGCTTGGGTTCTCATCGATAAGGAAGGGGTGAGGCAGTGGTTAAGCCTAGGGCACCAGATAAATAGGCTGGGGCTAGTCTCAAAAGGCTACAGAAGCTTAGTGTTCTCTCTTCACCCAAGCAACACTGAAACTCTAAATCCTGTTTAGTGATCATTTTTGTTCTTTCAGTGAAATAATTGCCTGTTAACTCAGTGAGTACATGTACATTCCTTTGACCATTTGACAATGAACTATCTAAAGGCTTTTCCAAAGCTAAATTTTTCTGTCTAAACACCTACTTATATACCTTTCCTTTCTAAATAGAA